GACGTCGATGCTGACGCCGTCGCTAATGTCGGGAGTCGACGCCTCCGCTTGCAGTGGTTGTTGCGCCGTTGTCGATTTTCAATTGGAAAGACACAGACTGAGCGGCAGCGAGGCAATCAATGAGCTGGCAAGGGGTAGGGGCGGAGAGGGAGCTTAGCTAATTTAAGTTGGCCAGCCCTGGCGCCATGTTCGTTGCATTTTTGTTGTGCGGCATCCCTGGCTGCTCCACAGGAAATACGTACACACGATGTGGCTGTGCACCTCGCTCACACTGAAATGCCAGGAGTGAGCAAGAGAGCTTTCAGGATCACGGCTTTGTGCCACGTTTGCAGGCAGCTATAGCGGCAGCAATAACAACAGGAAAGCTCTGCTCAACAAAACGGCGTCTCCACGTCTGCGTTGGCGGCAGCAGAGAGAGAGAGCGATGCACAGTGGCAATCGGCAAGGTGTACCAAGCTAATGTTATTTAATTTAATTTCGTATTCACATGTTTCGGTTAACTGCAGGCGCTAGAGCGGGATGGCAGACGGATAGCGGACGTGAGCAGCAAGCGCCAAAGTTCGTCTCTATGTGTGAATATGTGTGTGTGGATGAATGCGGTTCGGAGAATGAACGAAAAGAACGACAGTGAGCGAGAGAGCGTACGAATGAGTGTTGGGGGCACAGAGATATGGGGAGCCACAGAGAGCCACATTCATCCAACGCCTGTTCATTCCCTGACGTCGCTCTGTCTGCTGATCCAACAAGAGAGCAAGCAATCGAGCGAGCTCGCAAGCTCGCCCAACAGGTACCCACATCCAAGGAGCTAGGTGAGGTGAGATAGAGACGGAAAGGGTGAGGGCGAGCGAGAGCCAGCCGAAAGAGAGCGAGATTCCGAATCCGATTCCGATTGTGGCTGCCGCTGTTGAAAATCGGCAACGTCGCCACCGATCGCCACCAGACAGAATGTCGCCAGTTCATGCTACGCCGCCAGACACTCTGTCGTCGGTGTTGCGCCGACGCCGCCGCCGCCTCTGCTGCCGTCGTTGCTGCGGCTTCTGCTCCTCTCGCTGTCGCCGTCGACGCAGCTGTGTCGCTGCCTCTGTCGATCGGACAACAGGAACACCACCCCCTGGACCCCTTTACACCACACCACCCACCATATCTCTGCTACAGGCGAACCTCCAAGAAACGCACTTTCAGAACCCATATTGGCTATGAAATATATCTCGTTATATAAAAACCTAATGGAATGGACATCTATGAAGTATATTCTGAAGTGGGGTTATCCAAAACGTATTAATTCTTCATTAAACTTCAACTTAAACTTTCTATCCCTAAAGTCTTTTACTGTTTCAAGGATTGAAAGAAGAATTTAGATGAAAGATCTGATCAAATCATAAAATCGTTAAAAAATTTGATCTGATCAGATGAGTTATCTGATCAAAACTCATCAAAAGTATTATCTGATCAGAAGAATTATCTACCAGCTACAAGCTAGGAAATAAAAATAAATCTAAGCTCATAAAGCTAAAATAAATATATAGATATATTCCTCCCCATTAAAGAATCCATTTAAGAATCTCTAAGAATATTTATCTTGTGGATCTTTTCAGACTTCTTTGAAATCTAAAAAATTAAGATAGATTTTTGTCGAATTAACTATAAAGATCATCCCTATTTCAAGAGATCTAGAGAGGATACGTTTAGGTCAAGATCTAGATCTCAGATCTATTCTCAGTTTTTGGGGCTTTGCTGTATTTCAGTTTCCCCATTGGCTTTTGGCTTTCTGCACATGCACATGCCACCCTCTTATACCCTCTTATATACATACATCTGTATACAAGCCTCTATATAGAAATGTGTGTTGTGGTGCGACCTCGACTTTGGCAAACCGATCGATCGATGGACGTAACCAGCAACTACCAACTACAAACTGACAGCCAACTAACTAACTATCAGCCACCAGGTTTCGGAATGTGACCGGGTACTTTTCCACCCGCGGGTATGACTATACCGATGACCACGACCAATACTATATACATATAGGCATATATGTATATAATATAGCTTCTGGGAAACGCAAGTCAGAACGAAAAAGTGGAAAGCCCAAAAGTCCCCATTCAGTCAAATCAATTTAAAATCAAATATGGGAATTATAGTAATGGAAAAATTACAATATAAAAATGTACATATTATATTCCGATTCTTCCGAGAACGAAGATCCGCAGATCCCAATGAAATGGGGATTTTTTCAGTTGAAGTTTTGGATTGAATAGAAATAAAGTTATATATATATATTAATAAATAACATATAATAAAAGTTTATTATTTTTAATTGGAGATTCTTTGATCCTATATCTTTTTTAATGTTCAAATAAGTGTCCAAATTCTTAATTAAGCCATTTAATTATTAATGTTACTAATCAATTAAAGAAGTCCTTTGAGACTATCAGCCTTTCTGAACTCCTCAATTTTAGATCTTCTTCCATTTCGAGATAAAAGCTATATTCCAGCAGACTTTGTTGCTAAATGTTTGTAAATAAAACGCAGCCATAAAAGGCATGTTGCTATGCAATTCTTTTTGGGGTCCCCTCTATATATATGCAGATATTCCAGAACTTGCACAAATGCACATATAACTATATATATACACGCACGTTCTCAATGAATTTGTGAGTTCGCTTCGGCCATAACTTGCAATATTTTTCTGTTTAGTCAACATAAATTTAGCCAAATATGTTTCTTTGTATCGGTATACGTACATATACATATATATAGACTATAGTTTGTATGCAGCCAGCGCCCCCGAGAAGTTCTTTTACTTTCACTTTCGCCATTGCATTTGCATTTCCTTGATCAGCAAAAATATTTTGTGCATGTTTTAGCATTTTTGAGGCGCGTGTGGGTGGCAATCTTTATTTATTTCTTTCATTCTTTAAAAAAAAAATTATATATATATATTATTTGGTAATTTCCTGATCTATTCTACTTAGCTGAATTTTATTATTAATTTGTAAATTTGCTTAGGTTGGGGCTTCTAGATTAATGGTACATATAATAATACTCTTTGGGCTTGGGAGAGCTTAAATGTAAGAACGGTTTACAGAAAACTATGGGATGGAAAAATATAATAATATATTTATGTATATTAATGAGATATATCCCAGTAAATATTTTAATTAAATTTTTGTCATTACAAAGAGTAAAAACAAAAAAGGTTTATTTTAAAGGATATGAAAAAATTTTCAAATAATTAATAGTATGTATACTATTATATCCAATAATAATACTATTATATGGTATATCTATCTATATTTATTATATTCACCCATTTATATCTTATATTACATCTAAACTCTTTATTAAAGCCATAGAAGTGTATGCCTAAGTTCGGTGTCAGTATTTTACCTTCTCCCTTAATTTTTCATTATTTCTTTTTTTTTTTTTTTACGTTTTTGAACGAACTGCACTTTCGTGATCAGCTGAAGCAGTAACTGGCAACGCGTGATCTGGCCGTATGGAGGTTAATTTACATAGTTACGAAACTTGTTTTCACATTAGCCCCCATCCATCGCAACCAACAGCCATCGATCAGAGCGAATCAAATCAAGAGTGAAGATCAAAAGATCCAAGATCGAGTGAGATCCAAGATTCAAGATATTCTCGTTAGTGTTGTGCAACCCAAAAGTAAGAGCCGAGGCTTAGGCAGATCAGCGGTTGATCAGTGATCTTCATGGATATATGTATATTTTTCTCTTTCAGATATTCTGGGGTTTCTTCCATGACTCCTCGTTCGACTTGGCTTAAGCCCTTCAAATTGCACGATCATTGATCCCCGATTCCTGATCCTAACTTATTAATCTCATGATGATCTAATCATATTTTCCATATTTTTAACATATGTTAGTACATAACTGCTTAGTCAATAATCCAATCCATTTAAATTTCGTACAAATTTTAGGAGATCGATTAATTAATTAGGATATATATTTTTATCATGGTTAATCATTGTATTTTTTTTAACCAAACCTCCCACCAAAAACTCCAAATTTTATTGTGGAGATTAGGAACTCTGCGGTTCTTCTAGACGCCACTTGATCATCGCATTGGTTGCGATGCTTGATTTTCCAGAGACAAGTGGCTCCTTGGAGGAGGAGTTCCGTTCGACCTGGTCCCTATACATATATTCTCTGGGAAACTCCCAGGACAGGACTCTGGTGTGTCTGGTCCATCCTTCCAAGGAACATGAACCTGTGTAGGCCCTCTATATAACATGTGTTGTTACCAAAGGGCCAGCTTTAAGACGGGGCTTTCCCCGGCCGAACCAACACACATGTGTTGTGTGTCCTGTTGCTGTGCCCCTAACTTTGGCTTAGGATCGCAGCCCGGATCGGTGCGGGGATCGGTCCGAGAGTCAGTTCAACAACTCGGCAAGTCGGACTGCGGGTTGTGTTTTGGATTTCCCGTCGGATTAAGACCAACTTGCGTTGCCTGCTTTCAGTTTCCTTTAGTTTCCTTCAGTTCCGACTGACGGGTCAGCTCGGGTCAGGTCAGAGCAGGTCAGTGCTTGGTCCGTCCACCGTCCGGCTAATTGTAATCGTGGGAAAAACCAATCAGACGCAACACTCGGCCCTGGGCCAGGTCTCGCGTCTTTATTACGGGGGGCAATATTAGCGTAATCCTCCGCGTTTAGGGTGCGTGTCGTAGAAGCCGTAAAGAACTTGGCTTGCGTTTACGGCCGCAGCACCATAAACCATATAGCCATCGGATCCTAGTCAGATATTTGCTACCTGCCGCTATCATAGATCTTCGATCTACGATCTTCATTTTGATTTGATGATGGGATTAAATATAGATCTCTTAATCAAAAGTTATGAAAAGTAATTATGAAAAATTTAAAAATTAAATATAAAGTCTTAAAAATAAAAAGAGATCCTCAGTTTTATAATATTTTAAATGTCTAAAGAAAGTCATTTATCATCCATGGATAGAGGGAGGTGAAATGAGAAATTCGAATGATGAATGAATCCATATCCGGTAGCAAGATTATCGGCTACGTGATCGGGTTTATGCATATAGAGTATATATCGCCGATATATTTGGTGATTCAGCTGGGTACATCGCACACAGGTGGCCATAATTTAGGTGTCGGCGGTATCTGTTCGTTTTTAAAAGTTAAATGAGCATACGGAGACCCCATTAGATACGCACCAGACACGTCTATCTATCAGTCCATACATCTATATATATATATGCTGCATATCTCTATAAGCTATAATGCTGTACGCGCCTGGCATTGACAATCGAGAAATCGGGTGCACAGTAGCTACCGCCGTCGCCACCTGTCCATAAATCGCTCAGAGACGAGACCCATTGGCATATAGCCTGCCATATAGCTATAGCCTATAACTGTGTGTCAAAGCCAAGAGGAGGACGCACCCGAAATACAAATTATGGGAATGAAATCTATCGGGGGCCCAACCATAAATCAAACTTGAATTCCGTTCGCGCAAGCGTTACATCGGAACCACAGGAGAGACCCGAAACCAAAACACCCTAGAGATTATTGATAATGATCTCACAATCGGTTGCATGATTTGTGTCCAAGGGTCCCCTGTCAAAGGGTCTTCCTTCAAGCAGGACTTGATTTTGATTTGATTTGTGGGTGTTCTGACTTGAATATGTTACTTCTTCCTCATCGATAGGAAGTATCAATGTTTGAATTCGATATTATTTGATTTTAAGATAATAATTGAGTAATTTATGAATTTCCGGATGGGGTCTTAAGGTATTGAGAGTATAGTATAGACTTTAGATATGTACAAAAATAAAAAAAAGGCAGGCTAAAGATAGCTTAACTTGTTCGAATCCTTTAAAAGGATATCTTAGTATTCCATTCTTCCTTAAAATAACCCAAAAATCGTTTCAATTAAACTTGTGGATCAGTTATCTCTACCTTCTATTTTGTAGTACACAATACTCACTCCCTCCAGCGAGGCCCCACCTCTTTTAGCACACTTTTTCCAGTGCCTACTGTACTCCAGCGGGAATGAAGTTTGTTTACTGTGCTGGTGGGGTCTCTGGTTGTGTCTGTGTGCGGTGGGGTCAACTATCTATCTATGTAAATCCAATATTTGGAGTCTGATAACAGTCCCCATATGGAGCATAGGAATGCAGGGGGTGCTTGGCGAGTGGGAGGCCCCCCCTTCCAGTAAGTATTCCTTGGGAAAACATACAAAATAAACTTTTGGGCCCTCCAGGCGTGTCTGTACATGCATTATTCGGAATATTTATGTGGATGTACGAGAATTTTTTTATTTTCTCTTTTTTTTCGCTTTGAATTTTATTTTTGAATGTAGTTGCAGCTTGGGCATACACAGAAATATACATCCATATGTACATATGTATGTACATATTTCATTCAAAGTAAATATTTATGTGTTCCAGAAAATTCAAAACTGTGCAATTCAAAATAGAATTCAAAAACAAAAACCAAAAAGGAATCGAATTTAATTTTTAACCTTAAGAAGTATTCAAATATTATAAATTAAAGGAATATATGGTAAAGTAAAATCTTGCCATTATTGCAGCTATTTTTTTTGTAAGGAAACCGGGCAATTAAAGGGTCTCCGGGACTCAAAACTGCTGGCTTCCTTTTCGCTCCTGAAGGTCAGGGAATGCCAAAGGAAGCAACCCTTTCAAGGGTTAAAACTCTGCAATGGCAGCACTAGATTGTGTGTGTGTTGTGGGATACCTACAATAAAATGCACCCACTCACACCGTCCAAACCAACACCAGTGCATGTGCATGGCATCGAGAATCCATATCAGCACCGAGGAACAATAACAAAACGCAGCAATAACAAAACATTCGTGTCCCGGGACAAACGGACAAGCCGGCACACCTACATACGTACTTGCATACATACGAACTCTGGAGGCACATGCACAGTGGGGGTCAAGAAAGTGGGTCTAAAATGTTAAGTTATGCGGTGTTTATAGGGATTTATAAAAAATATTATATCGAAAATATCATAAATATAGATATATTGGCATTTAAAATATTTAAAAAATCACATATAACGTTAAAATAAGGAAATTAATATTATTATATAATTAAATTTTAATTTTAATTTCAAAGCCTTGACTGTACATATTTATCTTTAAGGGGGGATATACATGTAAGCAGTCAAAATTTGGCCATTTTTCGTGAATTTTTTTTTTATAAGAAATAGTCAAGCAATCGTCGTGAAACTTTGGATATAGTTAAAAGTAGAGTCACAGATGACAAAAAAAATTAGTTATAAACAATATTTTACAAAATGGCGGCTTTATGGAACATATGCCGTAGCGCCTCGAGCTTTGAGTTGCCGTACTATGGACACGATAGGGGTCGTAATTCCAGTCCAAAACCCGTAAACTAAATTTTTTTTGTATTCATTACACCTGTATCTTCTATTTGAACCTAAAAAACCCAAAAGAAATCAAGACAAAAAAATTAAATTTTGATTTGAAGGAAAAAATGCCATTTTCAGGTGATCAGTTTTCACTTCCCACCCTCTTAAAAAATAGTAATACTCAGTTTTATAACAACCATGTAGGTTCAAATAGAAGATAATTTCATGCTGATCATAATAAAATTTTATTCACACCGATATGTTACGTAGTTTTTTCTGAATCGTGTCCATAGCATAGGCAGAAATGCAAAAATTAGAAGCTGAGAAAAAGACGTTTAAAGTTTTTGATGTGCCCACGTTAACACTTGTATACTTTGCTTGCATACTTAATTTGAGGCACTTAAAGTTGGAATTCAATGGTGAAACTTACACAGTCTATTCTTTAAGTAATAAACTATTTTTTAAACAAAAAAAAAATTTGCCAAAAAAATTTTGGTTTACATGTATATCCCCCCTTAAGTTCCTTTTGGCTGCGCTGCTATTAGAGTGACCGCCATTGTACCGGCCGAACAAACGTGAAGACGGCGGCGGCGGCAGCAGAGTCAGGCCAGACAGTCTGTCGCCAGAAAAATCCGCACTCACACAGCGCCAGAGCGCTCACACACACACGCACACCGCACAGCGGTCGAAACGAGGGCAGGCGAATGAGAAAGGTTGGAAGGGAAGGGCTGGGGAAGGAAAAGGTGGGGGATGTGGAATGTGGAGTGGGTGGAGGAAGGGACAATCGTTGAAGAGGGGGAAAGGGTTGGGGGAAAGACTCGAGATTCAAAGGCAGGAGAGTGGGCAGCGAGGCGTCGGCGTTACCGTCGGCGTCAACGCCGCTGCCAGCTCACTCACTGGCTCGTCTATGTTGTTGTAATTTTTGTATCTTGGTTGAGAAATCGCTCGAAAAAGCGAAGCGCAAAGCAAAGCAAAATTCCATTTAGATTATGCTCTTCTGCTTCTTCTTCTTGCAAATGCAGAGAGAAAAAATCCCACAACGGTTCAGGTTTTGATTATATTGTAAGGGAATAAACAAACATATACCAGAAGCGAATATCGTATTATTTCTCTCAGTGTGTGGCACTGGTGTTGTTGTTGGCGCTTTTGACGAACTAAACGCGCTGCTTGGGAGGTGTTACAATACACACAAACACTCAATGAACCCCAGAAAGGCACACACACACAAGTTCACGCGCTCACGGAAACGAGCACTCGACGGAGGGTGCTTGTGTGCGTGTGGCTGCAGTGTGCATTGCATTGCATTTGCCAGACCGTCCGGCGCGCCAAGTCGCCGCTCATAACGTCATCGCCACTTGGGACAGCGGCGGCAGAAAGAGAAAGAGAGAGAGGTGGCCTGCAGCAGAGGCGTCACCACAGGAGCAGGTGAGTTTACCAAACAAATTAGAAAGGATTAAATAAATTAACACAGAAAAACCCAATTATTTGAAAAAAAAAATTAATAAATAACAAATTAATGAAAAAAAAATACTGAAACCGAAGGCAGTGATAAATTTTATAAACCCCATTTCATACACCCTTGCTCTCCCTCTCGAGTACGAATTTTATCACCCACGATTTCGTTTGCTCTTGTTGTTGTTCTTCTACTGTTTGTTTTCGATATCCCGGCACACACACACACACATATTCCCCTGTGGGGGCACATGCATTGGGGGTGCGGACAACTCGATGCCTATGCTGGGAACCCCCTTTCCCCGCCTATGAAACCAATAATTATTCAAAAAAATTCCCCAAAAAACAACGTAATATTAATTTGATTTTAAACGTTGGAGTATTTTTCAAAAAAATATATTAAAAAATATAAAACAACATGTAACACTTTTAAATTTTAAATTGAGATGATAAGATGTTAGAGAAAAGCGACAATTGTTTAAGACTAATTAGTTAAATTTCCACATTAACCAAATATATGACAAGCATTTAATATTTAAATGTCAAATTATGGTGAATAAAAAGATTCTATTTTAATTGTACAAGGTACAAGGACCACCTGTTGTAATCGCTTAAAATCTGAGAACTAAAATCTGAAATCCCAACAAGCTGTGAAATTTCGAAATGAAATAAAAACCGCGTCGTTTTTTTATGCATTTTACCGATCCGAAAGATGGATTATACCGTCGAATTCCTGGGATCTCGACCCTTTCGGGCTATCAAATTCCATATTCCTCAGGTGCTGCCCGGCAGTCTGCAGTTTTATCTTTGAGTTTCGGGCATAAATCTGCCGGGAGAGGGGTTTCCTTCCTTTTCAGATTGGGGATGGGATGGATGTTTGGGGTTTGCAGCACAGACTCCCAGCCAAACTGTACTGAACATATACAAATACATATGTATATATAAATTTGTATATGTATGTATTGCATTGAGGAGCGAACACGTTTCCACTCTGCCACACGGATACGGGCGCATACAGGAAACGCGGAACGCCTAGGTACAGTGGGCTGGATGGATGATTTAATAAAAAAAAAAGTATGGGTTAGGTGCCTATTGAATAACTTACAGTCATTAAAAGTACTTTTAATAGCGCCTTTATATTATGAACCGACTTTTAAACCCCTAATAAGTTGTCATAAATAAGCAAGGAAAGAAGGGATTCCCACCACGGGGGCGTGTAGGCATTCGGGGATTTTATTATAATTTTATTTCAGTAGAAATACAGCACATTCACCACATTACGTTAAGAAAACAGAATGTAAATAATTAAATAATACGTTAAGCGTACGTGTGACGTTAAGTTTGCAACTTGGATGGTACTTATGTCCCACTGTGCAACAAGAAGAAGGAGGATAAGGAGCAGGAGCACAAGAAGAAGCAGAAGAAGAAGAAGGAGGAGTGGGCAACGGCAAAAGGGAACGAACGAAGGAGCAGACAAGGGGATAAGTGCATATGTGGCCCCTGAAACTTAACACTTCTTTGGTCTCCTCCGGCTGCGAATATTAAAATACCCACTTAAGGGCCCAACAATAACAACAGCGGCGGAAAGCGGAGAAAATAAGCATACGAAAAAGAGGAGCTAGAATTGAACTCGAGCAGTTTTCTCTGACACTTAAAAAAAATTACAAAAATCAGATTATATGACATTTTAAATAATTTTTCATTATAATTCATAGATATTAATTTGAGTATAGTTAACATTTGAATAATATATATGATAAGCGAAATCAAAACACAATTAAACATTTTTAAAATTTATTTTCCGTTACATACTCCTATTTTTTGCAGTGTGTACACACTCTTCTTGGAGCGGCGCCCGTGCGTCTGAATATGAAAACCAAATCGGAATCCGCTTCCTATCTCCTCTGCTTCTTGAATCCAGATGGTATAGCACTTGAGAGCCGGCATGGATATTAACTAATTGTTGGCCACGAAACCATGGGGAGGAGGGAATGCGCTCGACACGCCACTTAACACATTTGCCTTCTTGAAAAAAGTACTTCCTTTTCGAATTTTATTTTATGGTTGCAATTTGATGCCCGCAAGTAAACCATAGTTTTTGTTTTTTTCTTTACAATATAATAATTTTTTTTATTCCGTTTTATTTTGAATTAAAGATTTCCTATTTCCCTCCTATTTTCTTGAATTTGTAAATAGGATTCAAAATGTGCCAATAGCCCGCCAACAGTGTGTAACGCACATTCTCTTAGCTTAGCTTAAAAAAACAAACAAAATTACATATTTCTTAAATTAAAACTTTAAATAAAAACTACTTTATAATTAGAAAAATGTATTATTTTCTTACCAAATTATTTTATTAGTTTTTAAAAATATTTTTCAGCCCGCCTGGCAAACAGTGTGACCCCCTTTAAAAGAAAAAGTAATTCGATCGCTCTCAACGCAAAAATGAGCATGAACCAGTTGTGTGTATGCGAGGCAATGAGAAACGAGTACGTGAGTATTTTCAGGGCTGGAATGCACTAATTATCGCCATGCAAGCCGAATTGATTTGAAGAGTAGTAGCAGCAGCAGCGCAGCGGCAGAGCATCAGCAGCAGCAGCAACAACAAAACGCACAAAAACAAAGCCAATACACGCACGCACACACACACAAAAAGGACGCCAAAGGAGAAAAACAAACACAAAGAGCAGGACAGGATAAGCGCTTTTTCCAGAAATTGGGTCGCGCCTTCGAGCTTGTTGCTGGATTTTTCCTCGATTTGTATTTATACAAACATATACATACATATTTGTTAGGTGTGTGTGTGTGTGTTGTTGTTGTTCTTCTTCTTCTTGGTCTTTGTCGTTTGTTTGTTGTAACTGTGGCTGTTGTTGTTGTTGTTGCTGGCAGAGGGAGCGAAGAGGAAGAGAGAATAGCGAATGTTATGGCAACACTTGCAGCCTGCGTGTGTGTGGGTAAGTGAGTTAGAGTAGTTCGTGTGTGCAGTTTTAACGTTCTTATTTCTATTACTTCTTTTTCGTTTTTGACTTTTGGCTGTGGTTTCTTCTCCGTTCTCCGTTTCCCTGTTAAAGACTGAGGATATTGACAAATAAGGAGGAAGCCTTATATATTTATGTGTATATAACTAACAAAATCCTGTTCCAATTGATGGCAACTCCCGGAGTGTGTGTATGTGTGGGTAAGTGTGCAGTTATTTTTCGATTTCCCTTTGTTGGACATTTATTTTCTTTATGTTTTGTGTGTTTTAGAAGCTTTTAAGTTAAGATAAATCAATTTTAAGTTCCAAAAACCGTAGAAATTTGTTGTAAATAATATTTGTTTTTGTGTGTATTTTTCATTGCCTACCTTTTGACGTCTTTCTTTGCAGAGTGAGCCATCGTTAGCCAGAGCACAGCCAGCCAGCCAGGAGCCTTAAATCTCCACCAGAAACTGTTCAGCAGCCGCAACAGGAACCCCCCAAAAACCCGGACTCCAACCATAAATCCTAGTCAAAATGAGTGTGGTGGGCAAGCAACTAAATCCTGTGCAGCAGTCATCCAGCGGAGCCGCCGCCAGCGCATCTTCTTCCTCCTCCTCCTCAGTCAGCGGCACGGCCACGAGCGGCAGCGGTGGCGAGGCTAATGGTGGCAGCAGCACAGGTCTGGCAGCAGCGGCGTCGTCCTCCGTCGGCGGAGAAGGATGCGCTGGTCCAGGTGACTCAAAGCGATCTTCGGAGCCGTCCAGCGTGACGCCCGAAGATGTACTGCACCTGACCAAGATCACCGACGACTATCTGTGCTCCGCCAATGCAAATGTGTTCGAGATTGACTTTACGCGCTTCAAGATCCGTGATCTGGAGAGCGGAGCGGTGCTCTTTGAGATCGCCAAGCCGCCGAGTGAACAGTTTCCAGACGGACTGTCCGTCGAGGAGACCATGCTGGCGGCGGCCGAGGAGCTAACGCTGGAGGACACTGCCGATCCGAATGCCGGGCGCTATGTGCGCTATCAGTTTACGCCGGCATTTCTCAACCTCAAAACAGTGGGAGCCACGTAAGGAATAGATAAAGCTTCATATGATACAAATGTAAACTTTCTTGTTATTGCTTTGCAGTGTGGAATTCACGGTGGGCAGCCAGCCAGTAAATAATTTTCGCATGATCGAGCGGCACTTCTTTCGCGATCGCCTGCTAAAAACCTTTGACTTCGAGTTCGGCTACTGCTTTCCGTATTCGAAGAATACGTGCGAGCACATCTACGAGTTTCCTAACCTTCCACCCGACCTAGGTGAGATCCGAAACCCAAAACGTGTTGTTTTTAACTAATATAATCGGAGAAATTCGGTTATTTGTTGGAAATATTGATATTTAATAGATGGCATAGATAATTTTACACAATTTAAAAATGGAATAGCAATGTTTTCAGTATTTTTGGGGATATAAATTCCTGTTTTTTTTTCGTATTTAAACGTTTAAAGTTATATTTTTCGATATTTAAAAATGATAACGATATTAGTTGTCGATATAAATTTCCTAGTTGTTTTCCCCTTGAACCATCAAGTGTGTATTACTTTTTCCACTGAATCTCTTATTGGTTAGCCGGATTATATCTTCTCTTATATAAATTAAGTGAAGATTTTTTCTTAAATTTAGAGGAAAATTACTTTAGCGCCTTGCGTAATGCTTTATCTCAGCTCAGTGGCCAAAAATTAGGACAAAGGGAGGGGGCTCTTAATGTAGGTCAAGGCGAGCTCTGCTTTTTGCTTTTAACTCTGCCTTGTTTTATGCAAATTAAAAATATTTTTTTACCTTCATTTTTACTAAGAGTATTTTTTATAATAAAATAATATAAATAATATTATAATTTAAAATGTTTTGAAGCAAATGTTAGCTTAAAAATCCACTATTACTGTCCTTTAATAGTTTATTTATATTTATTTATTCACAAAGACGAATTTAAATTCATATTTCAGGAAAAATTCTGAATTAACATTTTACTGAACTAGAAATCATGTTAAAAAAAACCTAAATTTAAATTTTATTTCTATAATTTTTATATATAATTTTTAATTTTTAATAATTTAATTTCAACAAATTTTTTAAAATTTAAATTAAATTTAATATTACAAAATTATTAAATTGTTAAATAAACTAATGTATTAACATATCTTTAACCTTACAGTGGCTGAGATGATATCGAGCCCCTTTGAGACACGCTCGGACAGCTTTTACTTTGTGGAAAACCGACTCGTCATGCACAACAAAGCCGATTACGCCTACGATGGAGGCATTATAGTCTAAACAAAAATCTAAAAAAAACGAGAATCTAAAGAAAGCTAATCCAAAACAAAAAGGATCTAAAAAAGAGTCTACAAAAGGAATCTAAAAGGATCTAAAAAAAGGAAGAACAGAGCAAAAACTACAACTAAGAAGGAGGATCGAAGAAACTAGAGCAAAACTAATAACTAAAAATTACTACAAAAGCTGTGAGACAAAATCCAAATGAATTGTCACACACACACCACAACCCACACACACTCCACACACACACATCGAATTTGAGGGAATTATCACAGCCATTTTAGCCTTAGCACGAGAGTTTTACCCACCATTCCTGTTTGATGTATTTTAGCAAGGATAAAGACAAACACACAGACACACACACACACACACACACACACACACACACTCATAATACAAAGAAAACACACTCACACCGAAGCACGCAAACTGTGTTTATTTGATAAATAATTTCCCCGATCTTTGAATATATTTAATTTTAAGTGCAATGTGATTTCGCCTGTTTTTTTCGGTATCTCTTATATGAATATGTATACATTTTTTATTTATTACTAATTGTAAGTAAACACACACACATCACACACTCGAAACCAAAGCAAAACGATCAAGCATCACTTGCTGTCAATTTTTTGTATGCAAAAGGAGAAGAAGGAGGAGGCTGCGGAAGGATAATTAAACGATACGATCTATCATCAGCTTCGCTCTCTCTCTCTCTCTTTGTTCAATATGGCATTTTTTCGTGTCCTGTGTATGTATATTTTTTAAACAAATAAAAGAGGGGGTCTCAAGGAAGGCAAGCAAAAAAAAAGGAAACCTTAAACCCTGAAAATCGAATGTATCTAACGAGAGATCACACGCCGAACAACAAGAATGATTAAATTAAATTACATTTTAAATGTACATACACCACAACTTGATGTTTTTTAATATGATAGGAGGGAGGAAAGAGGGTCTATATTATATGGTATATATATAATCCTTGAAAGGACTTGAAAACCTTGAAAATATTTAAAAGCAGCGATGTCCAAGTAGAAGCTCTTTGAGCTACAAGCCTTTTTTTCAGTGGGTTTCTGGCAAATATAGAGAATTTTAAAAAATTAATTACTTTATAATTTAATTAATTTTTAAAGCAAGCTTTAATTCTTAGTTTTATTTTATTAACTAAATTCTGTCTCCCTCTAATTGAAGTAGAAGATCGATTTCTACTTAAAAAACAAATAAATAAATTAATAAATTAATAATAATTACATGCATTTCCCCAAATCACAGAAATAAAATGTAACCTTTTCTCATAAATTTAGCTTAAAGCTCATTCTTATTGCCTCTTTTTTGTACAATTTTTAAACAAGTTTAATTGTCAAATCTATTTCTTCTATTTGAGGAACTCGGTGACTATGGAAATAAACTCCTGTGGCTGCTCAAAGTGTACCAGGTGGCCGGCGTCCAGCCAGTGGATATCAGCCTCAGGGAACATTTCCAAAATCTCTGGCCAGTGCTCTCGTCTAAAAGAAAGAAAACCTTTTAGTTTAGAAGCTTTAATAGTTATAAATAAGGATACAACCTCATGTAAGATGAATGGGAGCCACAGATGAAGGTGGTGGGTCCTGGGTACGGTGGTAGTTGGTCGATGTTAGTCCTATAATCCTCGAAGCGAGTAAGAAAGTCACGCAGCACCGAAGCATTGCAGGCCCAGGAAAAGCTGATATATTAAACAAAAAGAAATATTTTAAGCTTAACAATGAAAGGGAAAACCGATATATCAAATGTAAAAGGATGTTTTATCGCAAAAATATCAATTTGTATATCAAATTCCAAGTCGATATATCAATTTTCTATACCATTTGTACTCCCACTTACGCTCCAGTCTCTGGATCCTTGCGCAGATTCAGCATAATAAAGTCCACCGTCTCGTCCTCGGTGGCTTCCAGTAGCTTCTCCCGGGCTATCTTCCTACCCTCGGACATGGATAGGCTGGGCGAGAGATTCAAATTAACCATGGCATCAAAAATATGCTTCATCTCCTCGGTGCCGCGTGGCACTGATATGGGGGAGATGTCCACCACAATTAGACGCTCTACCAGTTCGGGCTAAAAGGATAGATAGTTGAGGTGGATTATTTACCTCCTTAATCGTGGAAGTCCTCTTCCGGCTGCTACTCACATATTTCCGGGCAAAGTACATCATGGCACGACCGCCCATGCTGTGACCCAGGCAGGCTGCCTTTGGTGCTTGGTGCTGCTCCAGAAATAGACGGATATCCTCGCTCATGACCCGCGATGTGTGAACAATCGAATGCGGACTCTCGCCATGATTCCTGGCATCCACGGTATATATCTGGAGTAGTGGGACGAAGTCTTTAAGAGACTACAGAATAACTGGAAATCAATCACTCACCTTTCTGGGCACCTTACGGACCAAGGCTCGGCTGATGCCGCGCCAGTTCTGCTTGGAGCCGAAGAGGCCGTGTAATGTTATCAGCGGCGGCTGCGTGGGCTGTCCCTCGCCCTGGTACACCTCGAAGCTCATCTCCACCGGCTCCGACGTGGAGTACGAGGAGGAGGGAGTGGGGAAGAAGCCATTCAGCAGGAGCAGCGCCTGCAGCGGGCTCTTACCCGTGCCGGCTGGTAGTAAACGTAACGATTTCGTAAGTCGCTGCATCTTTGGGCCAGTGTGTACACACACACGATCGACGGGCAGTGGCGGGCGGTTGGTGGGGATAGGGTTTATTTCCACGGTCCTTAGTTGCGTAATTTAGATGTTAATGCAAAATAAATGTTAATTTTGAATGGTTTGCCATAATTATTTGGGGAGAGATTAGATTTGTCAGAGGCGCAGGGAAAAATATGTAAAGGGGATTACATAGATTTTAAATGATATATCGAGTAATAGACAATTATCATTGCTATATCTCGTATTCCTGGGTAAATTAATAATACATTCCAATAATTTAACTTTTTTTAAAATAATTTTTCTATGTTTAGCTTGCGAATATGAAAATTCAACCCCCACTAGCTACACCACTGAAAAATGAGCTAGAAAGCGCTACTTTGCCAGCAGTCTGGCAACGCCGGCCAAACGTCAAAAAGCGAGAAACACCTGGACTGTATTTCTTTTACTACTTTATGGTATTATTTAATGGCAAAAACGGGTGAAATTAAATTTATGTTTTTAAATGATGTAAAAAAAGGAGAATTAAATTAATAAATAAATGTTTTAAGTTAACTATGAGCAACCTAAAAAAAGGTGGTACCACTGAAATGGTATTTTGTGGTATTTATAGTTGGGCAGGAGAGTATTTTCTATCGTTATCGGTGCGCGGTCACGCTGGTTTTGGACAGCGAGGACTGAAAAAGAACGCATTTCTCGGCAGCTAAAACCAGGAATTGCAATTAGAAACAGGATCCAGGTAACGCGCTCCATCAGGACTAACCAGGAGTTGAAGGTTCTCCATCGGGCGCAGCGCCAGCAGAAAAGGGGGACAAGCACAGCATACAGCAACGACGACGACGGCGGCGGCCGAGAAGTAGCGGCGGCGGCGTTGGCTCTCCGTACTTCTCCCACTCTCTCTCACTCGCAGCCACTCAGCCATAGGTAAGCAGCAACAAAAAATGTGCATATTGCAAATTCAGACCAACAAATTGATATATTTTCAAGTATTCTATCTTTCCCCTCAAAAAAAAAACAAAAAACAAAAAAAAAGTAAAAATAAAAGAAAAGTATAAGAAAAATGAGTAAAAGTAAAAAAGTAAAAGTTAATGTACAAGTTGAAAGTAAGTGAAAAGTGGTTAAGTAAAAAAATCTGTCTGTCGGTCGCGAAAAGTGCGCAAAAGTCCGAAAATAATTAACTCTCTCCTGTGTGTGTGCCTCTGTGTATGTTCGAGTGTGTGTGTGCGTGCGTGCGTGTCCTACTTGTGTGTGTACAATTCAGAAGGGCGAGGGAGACAGACCGTCCCGCCGTTGTCAGAATGAGAATGTGAAGAGGAATGGCGCAAGTTATCCCGTATTTTCAACTGTAATTGTTGTTGTTCTTTCAGTAAATGCCTCCTGCGCTCGCTCTCTCTTCCTCTCCCTCTTTCTCGCTCTCGTTCGCGTCAAAAATTAAATTAAAAAAAAAAAAAAAACCGTAGCACACACACACACACGATATAATCAATAAAATTAAAAATAAATAAATGCTAATAAACGCAATGAAGGTAAGAACCCCACAAAAAGCCAACAAACAGCAACAAATTTTTTAATAAAATAAAAACTTTATTCTCGACTCCTGCCCCCTCTCATTCCCACAAAGAAAAAAGTAAAAAAAAAGATAATTTAAAGAGACGTTATCGATAGCAATGCCCATCGCGTTATCGTCGCAATCACACAGTTATCGACATTTGTTGGGGGGTGACACTGACCTTTTGCTGCGCCTTGTCTTATTGTCCGCATTTCGAATTTCGATTAATAACATTTCACAAGATTAAAAAGAAGATTACGATTTTTAGATCTGTAATTTTAAGGTTTTTCTATTTGTCCGCTTGAATGTGAAGAAACCAGGAAAAATCTCTTCTCCTCCTCCCCTCAACAAATGTTCAACTCGCTGCTCCAATCCAGTTCCGCTCTCGGTTCCCGAAGAATTGTGTGTCGCGTCCAAGGAGGTTGTTTCTTGTTCTCCCCCTTATGCCTGCCCTGAAGTCTAATCTTTTTCCCCTTAACCATCTCCTGCAGGAAGGCGTGGAACGTCCGAGTTGCCCGCAACAACGGCGTAAGGCGGCGAACCCATGGTCCTCGACATGGAGTCGGACGATTCTCGTGCCAGCTCTCCGTCCAACTCGTCGGAGTCTCGTTCCAATTCGCCCGTTAATTCCAATAAAGATCCTACCGAGCAGAAGGAACAGACCTCAGAATCGGCTGGCGAACCAGTACTGGATCGTTCTGTTCGAGCCGCCTCCACCAGCAGCTCCTCCTCCAACTCTAGCTCCAGTTCCAGTCGCAGTGATCTCTCCACTAAGCAAAAGAAGAGCTCCAGCAGCAGCAGCGGCAGTGGCAGCAGTTCCTCCAGCGGTTCGTCTAGTGAAGATGAGCCGGAACAGGAGCGGCAGCAGCAGCAGCTGCCGGAACAAGTGCCACAGCAGGAGCAGGCTGAGCCGGATCCGGAGCCAGAGGCAGAGCCCGAGATCGAGCCCGAACCGGAGCGAGATTCAGAGACGACAACGGAACCCATAACAGCTTCGTTGACCTCTAAAACCGAGCAACCTGGCTCACCGCCCAGCGCCAAATCGTTCCACTCCTCCGCACGCAGTCGGAGCAATAGTCCACGGCTGTACAACCAAGCGGCCGTGGATCTCAACATCAGTCATGAGGATCTGAGTGATGTAAGCGATATTGAGGCTGAGGAGAAGCCGAAGAACTCACGCCGCCAGGCAGAGGAGGAGGAGGAGGCTGACGAGGAGGAGGATGGCGCCCTGTCAGATGACTCACTCTCGGCCATGGACGAGGACGAGGATGAGGTAAAACAGGTCAAGCAGAACGGGGGCCAGAAGCCAGCCAAGGCCAGCAAGGATGCCAAGGTAGATTCCCGATCTTTACGTAGCCAAACCGAATCTCTCTTCATCCTTGTTTTGTTTTCCATTTCTTCCAGCTTGATGGACGCACACCTGCCTCTGGCCTTGAGGAGGATCTGGTCAAGACCCATGACGATGATGCTTTGGACTTTGAAGCGGAGGAGGGCGAGTGCCCAGAGCAGATCAAAGCCAGCGAAACAAAACAGGCCAAGACGTCGTCGGCGTCACCAATGGATGAGGGCGGAGCCGGGAACGATGACAAGGATTGCGTTGGCGGCGACAAAAACATCGACACCGACGACGACGACGATGATGGTGAGGTGGATGCCGACGATGATGAGGAAGCCAAAGGCAAGGCCAAAAGCAAGGCCAAGGATGGCATTGCCAGCAATGGAAGTCTCGAGGATGGCGAGGATGAAGCCCAAGATAAGGCCTTGTCAGCCACATCATCAGCCGCAGCAAAAAAGAAAAAGGACGAGGAGGAGCTGGAGGAGGGCGAGGTGTCTGACGAGGATGAAAAGCGTCCCGAGGAAACGGAACCCAAGCCCGTGTGTCGTTTCTATACGCGGGGTCAGTGCACCTGGGGGATGAGCTGTCGCTTCCTGCATCCTGGTGTCACCGACAAGGGTAACTATACGATGTTTGAGAGCCTCGTCCGTTCCGTGCCCATGCAGGGCGGTGGAGCCTCCTCCTCCTCGGCAGCTGCTGCTGCTGGCTCCTCTAGCTCTGCATCCCGGGCCAGCGCCTCTGCCTACAGTTCTCATGCTGCTGCAGCCGCCGATTATCATGACTATAGGACTGAACGGCCAGCGCTGCTCCATCGGCCGGCGCTACTCCATTCGCCGAGCGTGTATAGCGCTCACGATGCCCGGTCTGCCTTGGTGCCGGAGGGGGGACCCGTGGTGGAGAATGCCTGGGAACGGGGCCTCCGCACCGCCAAAGAGATGATGCGGAAGGCCAATAAACGCAAGGAGCAGGACATGGACTTTGAGGACAAGAAAATGAACCTCACACTCTCACCGGACGAACTGGAGAAGGATCCGTATTACCTCAAGGAGCGAAGCACCAGCATGGCCCGTTCCACACCGCCGCCACTACAATCATCGTCCCGCGATCCAGCCCTACTGCATCCGCTCAGCATGCCGCTGTCCATGCATCCGCATGCCGTTCCCCATCCCCATGCCCATGCTCATCCCAATCCGCGTGCCCTTATGCCGCTGCAGTACTCTGTGTATGGACCGCCGGGTGATCGCTACGGTCGGAGCCAGTATATGGCGCCGCATCATTACGAGGATGTTGATGCTTACGGGCGTATGGCGCGGTATCGTGAATTGCCGCCACATCGGATGCCGCACTACGAGGATGATCGCAGGCTAAGGCCTGCGCGTGAGGTGATTGTCCAGCGTGTGGAGGCAGCCGGTGGCCACGGGATCCGTGGCGATGAGTGGAGCGATCCCTGGATGCGTTCCAAGTCCATGGGACGTGGCTCGTATGAGCGTGAGGAGCGGCGGCGTCGGGATCGTCGCAGCTACAGCAGCAACTCGTCCTACTCGACGTCGAATAGCTCGCAGAGTGACTCCAGCTCGGACTCGTCGCGCTCGAGCAGTCCGCCGCCGGATCACAAGCGGCGCTATGGCAGCAGTTCGCACAAGCTGGCCGCCGCCGCCTCCTCGGCCTCCTCGGCGCGTCGTCTAGGCGGTCGGACGGCGCGCTCGCCCAGCCAGATACCGCGACGTCCTAGGCACTCGTCCAGTGAGTTTGTAATTATTTTTCTAATTTTTTTGATGTATAATAACGTTATCCCGCTTTACTTTTTTTTTTTTTTTTGCAGAGGGCAGCCTCTCGCCTTCGTACAAGCGTCCGGCCATGGACAAGCGATCCGGTGGACATAGTCCCGCCTCCAAGCGCAAGAAGCTCACCTCGCCGGCGGCCAAGAAGTTTGACAAGCTGAGACGTCGACACAGCTCCAGCTCATCCGACTCAGGTAAGGAGTAGAATTAGTAGTCGGTTTTTAAAGTCGAGTTGATCTATAACATCCTTCTGTCTGTGTGTTTGTTTTTAAGAAAATTATTAAAATAAAAATAAATGTTAAAATTCCTTTGCAGATTCATCAACCACCTCGTACTCGGAATCGGAATCGGGATCCTCGTCGTCGGGCAGCTCGTCGGGATCGCGGGAGACACCCCAGAAGCGTGTGAGGGCCACCGACAAGGCGCTCAACGAGCGCAAACTAATCAAGAAGCGTAAGTGTGGATTTTTCAAAGATTTTTTTACACTAATTCAATCCTCCTATAACCTCCCATCCACAGCCGTAGAACAAGTAACCAAGAAGCGTTCGCCCATTTCCATTGAGATTAAGAAGGCATCGAACATGGTGGGAGTGTCGGCGCTGGCCTCGCCCAATAACTCAGCCGATTCTGACAATGAGAATGACCAGCAGCGGCAGCACACCGGAAAGGACAAGGAGAAGGAGCCACAGGTTAAGGACAAGGACAAGGAGGAGAATGATAAAGACAAGGAGACAACAAAGGATAAGGTGAGGGAGCTGGGCCAAAACATGGACGTTGGCAAGAAGTCACGCCGGGAGGAGCTGCTGAAGCAATTGCGCGCCGTCGAGGATGCCATTGCCAAGAAGCGCTCAAGGCTGACCTAAGGCCCATCATTGTCTACGTCTCCTACTTCCTCCAAAAGAGCTCCCCTCCTTTACCCAAGGTCCCTCCAAATCATCCCATCTTTCGGCATCAATCAATACTTAGTGGTTAACGCAACATTCGCATCGGATTCGATATATGAAAGCCTCGTTCGCAGCGTTGGCAATTTATCAATTCAATGTATTTTAGGCTTAAAGATAAAAAAAAATGTCCTAACTTTTTTTTTATTTCCTCCGTTTGACACCCCCACCACAAGTGATGGAGCATTAACAATTAAAATTATGTTTATAATAGATCATAAATAAAGGATGATAAAAAACATTTACAATTGTTGTGCTTTATTGCAATTCTATGGAAAATTAAGGGTAAATATTAATGAAAGCTAAATACTATTTGTTGGAAAAATAAATATTTTAAATTATTTATTTTTTTAATACAGACAAATATAATATAAAAAAATAATAATAAATATAATATGAAAAAAAACCAGATATAATTGTTATTTTATTATTTATTTAAATAAATAAATAAATAATAAAATAACAATTATATTATATTATATATATATATATATATATATATATTTATTTTACTGTTTTAGTGTATAAAGTTTATGCCTAATAGTAAACGAAAAAATTTTAAAATATACACACAGGTGTATATATAAAAACACACATGTTTGTTTATGTACTTTCCATTTTCTCACTCCAACTATCTGGCAACGCCAAATGTACAGTACTTAAAGACATGTTGGCACATGTTGCGCATGCGCATTGTTAGGTCTTATTTTCCATTTATTTATTTCCATATATATTTTTTTTTTGGTTATTTATTTATTTAAATATTAAATATCTGGCATTGTAAAAACCATACCCTTACTTTTGATCGGATCACGTCGGGTGAACAAAAGCCAGGAAAGGTGTCTTCAAATATTTTCTACATATTATTATATATTTATTTTCTATATTTTTATATATAAGAATATTCTTAAGTGTAAGGTGCTTATCGATTTCATTTATCGATAGACAGAATCGGCGAAAAGCTACATTGGATTCTATCAATTTCACATCGTTTTTTTTTGTGTCAACTCTAATAGCAGTTTCTCCAAGTCATTGCTATAATTACAACTGAAGTGTTTACAAAGTTTGGTTTCTCTTTTTCGTTTAGTGAATAAATTAGTTAATTTGTTAAAAAAAATCCATTGCAGTTTGAAGAAGCAGCAGCTAGAAGAAGTGACCAAGAAGTGTTCGCTTGAATTCGATTTTTTTGCACTTTCATCAATCGCCTTGCTACTTGGAGCTGGAATCAGGATCCTCGTGGTTGGAAAGCTCGTCGGGATCAAGAAATACACCCCAGAAGCGTGTGAGAAGCGTAGGTGTTGGTTTTCGGAAGATTTTCTTACACTTATTACAACCACTCCACACTACACACACGTGCACTTACTTCCAAGTAGAACTAGAAACCAAGAAGAACCAAGAAGCTTTTGTCTTTATCCACTAAAATTAAGAAGATGTGCAACATAATGGGAATGCCGACACACGCCTCTCCCCAGAAGTCAGTTGATTCTGACAATGAGAATGAGCCGCAGCCTCGGCAGGTGGAGCACGAAGAAGGCAAGGAGGAGACTAAGTTAAAGGAGCAGTTGGAGCACGAAGAGGACATGAAGGAGCCTCAGTTGAAGGACAAGAATAGGGAGAAGGAAGTGGAGACGGATAAGGAGGTGGCTAATTACAAGGAGAAGAATCTGGAAGGGAACAAGAAGGAGAAGAAAGACAAGGACATGAACGAAGAGAAGGAAAAGAATGATCAACCCAAGAAGGCCTCAAATGGGGAGGCAATGGCCGGCGAGGAGCGTAGGAAACGCCACAAGGAGCTGCTTAAGCAACTGTACTCGATCGAGGATGCCATTGAGAAGAAGCGCTCTAAAAAGAATTAAGGTCATCATCTAAATACTTAAATATTTAAAATATTTTAATATTTAAAACTAAACTTCACTTCATTTGAATGGCTTACTTATAATAAAACTTATACTAGATACACAGGTATATCTAGAGGTATTTTAGTAAAAGAATATTAATAATGTTAGATCAAGAGACAAGAAAGGAAGCTGTTTTTGGGAAGTCAAAGTTTGTATATCCTTAAAGTTTGCATTTGGATCAGGGGACCAAATCTGGAATCTAACATAACTAAGCCAAAAATGCATTTATTTCAAATCGGAAAAAGTTCAATGTTTTTATTAGATTAACAAATCTGCATACTGATTTTAATATTTAAAAAAAATTAAATTTTTTTCAATTTTTGAAAAATTGAAACATTTTTTTTAATATAAATATATATATAAATATAAATATAATAAATATTAAACAATTTTTTTTCTTCCAAACAAGACTAGAAATACTTGGCTGTTGATGCTGATCAAAAATATATATTATTTATGGAGTCGGAAATGACTCCTTCGAGGCGTTTGAAGCTTCTGATTGGGGTATTAAAATTTAAATATTTTTATTTTTAATTTAACGCAATAAAAATCATCACAAAAAAGCTCGAATAAAGCATTTGCATTAAGTTTAATTTGTTGTTAATTTGGTAAATTAGCTTCCTTTGCATAAATTTTCATTTAAAATGCTTTTAAATATTTTTCAATATTTAAATTTAAATAAATAAATTAATTAAAGAACGAGAAAACTCTTTAACAAATCCCCGTTTTTTTTCTAGCCTTCTTTTTGTGCTGAAAAATAGAAGAAATATTTAAATTATGCGAATTTTTGCTGCCCATTTTCATTTCCTGCTCAGCTGCCGAGCGCCGCTTTTCCCAGAGATTGGACAATTTTCCCCCGGTCCGCGAGTGTGTGCGTGTAATGCGAGCCAATTCCGCGCAGTGTTTTGTGCGTGTGTGCCTGGGTGTACGGGTGTGTGTCTCGTGGAAAACCTATTTAGATGACGAATCACAGAAATTTGGCCTCATCAATGTCTGACGCTGCGTGTGTGTGGCCGTGGCCGTGGCCTCTCCCCCTCAGAGTGTATTACATTTCTGGGTTTCATTTTTTATACATGCACATATATATTATGGTTTATTCTGTGTTTTTTTTTATACATATATATATATATATATTATTTTTTTTTTGCAATCCCTCGTTGCCGTCATCGTGTCGCATTTTTGGCAATCACAGGCCCAGGCCGCAGAAGCTGTCAGGAGACATTGTCATCATCCAGGCGACCAAGTCAAGAGCCGTGCCCACACCATCCACCAGCCAGGAGGGGTGTATGTGTGTGGGGTGGCCTTGGGCAGGGGGGCAATCCACCCACCTGGTCACGTCCTCCATGTGCGTGAAACGACAATACATGTGTCCGTAATCGACTGAGTTCCTTGCTCTACGCTACACTTGACAAAATGTTGATTTAAATTGGATTTTAGATTTGATGAGATTTTAAGAAGGATAAATAAAATATTAAAATTTATTTTTGACTTTAATTAATAATTTATGGAATTAATATAAACAAAAATAAAACAAATAAATAAATAATTATTGGATATTTTCGATATATTTTGATAATATTAATAATTAATAATTTATTTGAAATTTTTTAAAATAATATTTTTTACGATATATTCAATATGATATAAAGCAATGTATTTGTTTTTCAGTAATATATTATTTAAATTAAAAAAAAAGCATTTTATATATTATAAATGTCATTTATCGAAATTTATGATATTTATCGATATATTATCGAAAATGATAACAATTTATGGGAAATATAGCTTCTTTATAAATTTATTCCTGTTTTTGTTTGCTACAAATATTAATTTTTTTTTCTTATATTTTTTTTGAGTGCCTGCCTCCCATTTTGTCCGCTCTTTTGAGCCTAGATTGGCGCTGCTTAGGAAATAGTGTAATAAAGGCCAGCTGAAGCCCACACGCTGAAACCTCAGATTGGGATTTGAGCTAAATTTGCGAATTCTGGCAACCCCTTCTCCATGCACCCTCACCCCTCGCCTGGGATTAGCGAATTCCACTGCCATTTTTTTGTATTTTTTTTTGGACACCTCAACCACCCACACACACACACATACTCTTAACACACAGAAAGGCGGCGGAAAAAAAAACAATCACGAACAGATTTATCGCATTCATATTCAGCCTGATGCGATATGTGACCAGGAGTGAAGGAGGGGGCTCCGGGGTGCAAAAAATGAGACCAACCCCGCCCCTGACCATCCATCCCTCCTCCTCCTCTCGTTCGCTTCAGTGGGCGAAGACCGCAAAATGGGATTACATTACTCAAAGAAATTTATTTTGACAGAACTAATATTTTGTCCCAGAGATCAGCCCAGGTCCGTGGTCCGTGGTCCTGGTCTTGGTCTTGAGCCTGCTCTTCTGGACTCTGATTGCCTGCTTATCCGTGGGGTGGGGTGGGGGGTGTCGTTGGGGTTGCGGTCCTTGGGGTTGGTGTTGAGTCTTGTGGTTGAGCTTGGGGGCCGGTGCGTATGTGGGGGCCTTAACCGATTTTAAACCACAAATATTTCAAAAATTTATAGCATTTTTTAGTTTCCTAGAATTTCCTAAGTTTTTATTGGTAGTTCTGTGCTGATCTTGTTAAATGGTTAATGAAAGAGGATCTGTTAATGGATTTCGCACAAAAGTTTCTGGAAATAATAGATTTTTTTTTTGGATTTTATGCATTTTTGCTAAGATTAAAAATCTAAAAAAATCGCATTTAATTCTTAATTATCGATATTATTGAGGAAAGATTTCCACAATTTTTATTTAAATATATACTCTATCTTTATCAGTTTATAATGGGTCAAAATATCCTATAAAATATGTTTTTATCGATCGCAAATATGTACTTATGTATCGCAACGTTAAAATATCGATTTATATATCGGTCTTGAATATTACTAAGTCTTGGTTTTTCATGGTAGCTACTGTTATTTTTTAAAGGATTTTTATAATTTATATTCGAGGTTTTTAATATAAAATGTATTGTTCAAAATCTAAATAGGATTTTAAAAGCAAAACTAAACAAATAAAAAATTAAATAAATTAGAAAGAATTCGAATAAAAAATAATTCAAATAAATCAAATTAAAGTTTTTGGGCTTTTTGGGGGATTTCCCTTGTCCAAAAGGACATTTTCCGAGCCCTGAAACGTCCGCAAAGAGTGGCCAAGAGGAGGCGTGGCCAGTTCTTTCAGGAGGTCCTTGCTGGGTTGCCCACTCCCCCTCGCCCCCTTTCCCATTCCCTCCGAAGCATACACATAGGACATGTGTACATATGCCTGTACATATGTGAACGGGGGGACCGACACACTCACACATATTCGACCATGTCCTTTGGCGTTGTCCCTTGTCCGTTTGTTGCCATAGCCGTTTCCTTTTTTACCCAGCTTTTCTCCCCATTTCCATTGCGACTGCGTGTGTGTGTGTGTGTGAGGCAAAAGTTTTCTTTGATGCAATATGTACAAACGACCCGACCAGCTAACGGCCACCAGAAAGGACTGCTGCTGTCCTGTGAGCAGGATCTGCCCCTTCTCGTGGTCCTGCCTTGGCGGTCCTGCTGCTATTTGCGACTCAACTCGACCCTCACGTACGAACTTTGGCCATAACAACAACTGTGGCCATTACGAAGCCAGCGCATGTGATACGAGCCCGCCTGGGAGAGTGTGTGTGTGCACTGTAGAAAAAAAATTGGGCTAAGATTAAGAATAAAATAAATATATTAAAGAAATTAAATATATATTTTGTATATATTTTATTATTATTTATAGAAAATATATATCAAAATTTATAAAAAAAATAAAATAATGTTTTAAATTTTTCAATTTGCTTTTAAAATCTTAAAAAAAATTAAGTATTGAAAAAAAAGCAAACAAAGGCTTACTCAATTTTCAAAAAATATTTATAACTAATAATATTAAAAAATATATATATTAAAAAAAAATGAAATATAATATATAATTTAGTTGTACAAACTTTTAATGCTGCCCAAAACTAGGCAACAAAAAAAGTTCTTATTTTCGTGGCTTGTTTTAGGCTTATTGGGTTTGCTTTTTTTCTTATTGGTTTTACATCTTATTGAGGTTCTAGGGAAAATATTTTAGAATTTTTAATATATAATAATAATGAAATTACTTTTAGGTCGACGCTTCTTAACAGTTCTTGTTACCCGACTGATACATTGCAGGCAAAGCCTAAAAGAAAGAGAGAGTGAGAGCAAAATATAATTTTAAAAAGTAGCCTTAAAAAATTCAAACACTCTCGCTTTTAAAGTAAACTCAAATTAAAGTATCAAAATGTTAATATTTTTTTATAGTTTTTGAACACCTACCTCATTTTTTTTGTTGCAGTGCAGCGTGTCCCTTGGTTCTTGTTGGACATTCCGTGCCGAGAGGCGCGCGTTGGCAACCGCCTGCTACCTTTGCCTTCATCGGGCTGCTACCACCACACATATACAGCAGCCATCAAAAAAGGCTTTCAATGGTAGAGGACCTCTCTTGCCCGCCCACTTTTCACAACCCACAGCACAGCACAGTACACCACTCCCACCACACCCACCTCACACTCCTCCGCCAAGTCCTGCATGTCCTGTTGTCCGTTCTGCCCGTTGCCATGTTGGACAGCAATGGCGATATTTGCTTTCCTTTCCGCCATGAAACCGAAATGAAATGTGAGGCGAAAAGGAACGAAGGACGAAGGACCAAGGAGTGGGAGGAGGAGGAGGAGGAGGAGGGTGGGGTGGGAAGGGTGGTAAGGGTAGGGGGTGGCTAAACGCGCCGGACTCTGATGCGAATGTGGGCGAGCGAGCCAGTGGGGGTGGCTTTTTCGCCATTATTGTGGCAATTTTGATCAATGGCCCTATTTCGACCAAAACCCCCCCGCTCCAAAAAAAAGAGAACGAAGGACGCAGGACCTGCAGGTTGCCTTTGACATTAGTTGGGTGTATATAACAGAGATGCCACCTTAGGAGACCTAGAATATTAGGGAAGGTCCTAATTAAGAGTAAAAGTCAGGATAAGGATGTATATTA